CATTGAATAACTTTTTTTATTTTTTATGCAGTAACGTAACTGAATATGTATATGAAAATATATGGATGTATGCATTTGATTTTTATGAGATTTTTAAATTTACGAGCAGTTCTCGATAAAGACTTGATAGTCTTCTGCGAGTGCCCGCTTTCTTTTTATTTATTAAATCAAATACTTGTATATTTTTTGTTTATTTATATTTTCTAGTTGTAAAAGGATTTTTTAATCTTAACGATTTTATTTATTCATTTAAAAATTTTTATACTTTTTATAAGTTTTAAGTATCAAGTTCTTCATCATCGGTTCTCTGTGACAAAACTTAACAATCTTCTTTGAGTATCCGCCTTCTTTATTTATTTTCTATTTATTTATTTTTACGATACCTTCACTTGTAACTTCTCTCTTGTATATTTGTATTTGTATCTTAAACATTGTATTGAAGAACAACAACAACAAATTATTGAAGAACAACAACAAAGTATTGAAGAACAACAACAACAAAAAAAAAGCTGGTAAAATGGTCTAGCAATGTTAACATTTAACTCACACACGAATTACTAAATGCTGTTTTTAGACATACACCTATTTTTTCGATTTAGGACTTATTAAAACAGACAACGCTGGGAAACTAGCAACAATCTATGATGTGGCAGAAATTGTTAGAGAGGCTTTTACTCCAAGTAACATTACACAAAGTTTTCAATGGAGTGGTCTTCACCCACTGAATAAAAATATTTTCAAAGATTATGAGTGCCTGCCATGTAATGTAACAGATGGACTGATGATTATGTCTGTAAACCAGCCTCAAAACTTAAGTAAACTTGAAGACTTTTTAAGCCGGTCTAGATTTTTATCTGATAATGGAGTGAAAAATTGCAGTTCTGCTTCTTTTGTTAACCAGATAACCACTAAAATTGTGTCTCTGGAAATAATTAGACCCTACTCAAAATCATGCATTCTAAACTTCCATTTTCGAAAAACCTTAAATTTAAAAAAAAAACAGAGATAAAAAAAAAACCTGACAAAAAAAAAAAAAAGAGAGTAGAGTATCTGTTTTAGAAAAAAAAGCTTAGATTTGAATCGGAAAAAGAAGAGAATTAAAGAAAATTGTAAACCAACTGTCTTACAATAAATCTTCTCGGTCAAAAGAAGACGTCGAAATTTTAAAAGATTTAAATTTTGAAAAGACAAAATCGGGAGTTTCCCCTTTGGCATAAATTCATGATATAAGTGCTATGAAACACTTTCTAGCAGTAGTATTAGAAGTCGCTGAAACATATTTTAAAATTCACAAAAATTTTTGAGATAAGCATAAACTGTGTTTGAGCTGGAAAAATTAGAAGTGGTCTTTATGGCCTCTCCACCTTCATCTTCCCCTCTCTCACACTAAAATCCGTACGTAATTATAATGTTGTATTTTGTTATAATTACAGTAATGCGGTAATTATAAGAAGATAATTCTAAAAATAAGCATTAGACTATAAGGTTTTTTGTGCGCTTTTTTTTTTGTTTCTAGTCAGCAAAGTGCTTGTCGGTGACCACTAAAAAAACTTATTCAGCAATTTAACTTCTTAATATGAGCTTGCAACCTAGTGTAGACCCAAGACACATTGGAGGCATTATGATAAGACTGCCCTCAGCAACGAGTTAATTTGATGCCATGCATCTCCAATATCTTTTTGACAAGCATATCAGCTGCCTCGTTATCCTCATTGGAATAAAGAATATAAATTCCACTACTTCAAACTTTTCAATTGCTCTTTTTAAAGCAATTTGTAAAGTATAACAAATAAGTTTTAAAGCAATTTATAATCACCAAATATTTGTAAAAGCAAATCGTCAAGTTGCAGGATGAGTTCTTTGCAAATGTTAGCATATAGGTAGAGGTTTACTTGAGTGTTTATATGTTTAGCTAAAAACGGTTTGTATTGAGCTAATAAATTTTATCAGCAATAAAAATGGCTGGCTATTATTAAAAAAGAACTTTTTAAAAGTAAATTCGTTTTTTTATTTTTTTTTTTTGATTTTTCTTTTGTTTTTGAGACATTACAATAAATAATTTTAATCCTATAGTTATTTTAATGCTGACGAAAACTTTTTACGCAGACTTTTCAAGACGCAATAAAATAAAAATTTCGCTATCCCTGGTGTAAACAATGCAGCAGACAAATATTCTAAAGAAATATTTTATTATTATATTTTTTTTTAACAAATTCAAGATTTCAAAATAGAATATGCAGAGTAAATTAAGACTTTTTAAAATAAATTGATTTCTTACTGGCTGGCCCCGCAGCGACTGCCAAGGCTGGACATGGGTAAAGACGGGGCTGGTCTTTAGGTTGCTACACATTTAGGCTGCTACATATGTACAGATATACACAAAAAAGTAATATCACAGGTTTAATTTAATTACAGGTGTTTTAAATTAAATTTGCTAGCGAAAGAATTTGAACCCCACCATGAATTTCAGAAGCACAGAGATCTAACTACATTGACCGCTAAGGTTTAAATTAATTTTTTCGCCAACTAAGACCTTGTAATAAAAAAAAAGAAAAAAAGGTTCTCACAATATTTGCATTAATAATCACAATATTTTCCCATTAATAACTAAAGTTGAAAAGAGATCATATTAATAACTTTGTAATGATTTTTATCATTACAAAATTATTAATATGATCTCTTTTCAACTTTAATTGTTGATATTTAATATATTTTGTAGTTTAGCATTTAAACACTTAGTGACAACCAAATCAATGAACTAATTGGTAAATGAATAATATATTATATTTTTAACTATGTGGCTGAAAGATATTAGGAAATTAATTCAAAATCAAGTTATAATAATTGGACTATATCCGGGGAGCCTCTATAAAATTTCAAAATTTTGTTCAACAAAGTTACGATTTAAATCATTTTTTGAACTGCTTATATTTTTTGTACATTTTTTCAAAAATATAATTTAATAGTAAAAACTATTAGATAAAAACAGAGACTAAGAAAGCGCTGAATTTTTACTTAAGATTTTTACATTTTTTAAAGTTTAAACCCGCTATACTACTTGCTTTTTAAGTCACGTAATTTAAAGTTAAATCATCATTCATAGTATCTCTTTAAGAGGAAATGTATAAAAAAACTTTCTTAATTTTTTATTCATATTTTATCCTATATATATATATATATATATATATATATATATATATATATATATATATATATATATATATATATATATATATATATATATATATATATATATATATATATATATTAAATAAAAATTTCCTCTATAAAAGTTGTGATTTATAACAATAGTACTTAAGTTTTGATTTTTATAGTCAAAATAATACACAATAATTTAGAATATTTCAAATTTAACGTAATTTACACGCAGCAATAATAATAACAGCAAAAAATAATATTTTGTTTCACGTTTTTAAACTCAGTTATGTTTAAAATTTAGACAAAGACGCAAATCCGGCGTTAATAAATTTGGGTTTTGTTTAAGGGTCTGAACCTATTAAAAACGAATTAATTTTTTACCTAATCCCAATCCCGAGACTCCACTGGTCGTTTTTGATTATAAACATAATTAAACTTCAAATTTTTTTTTCTTTGAACGTCGCTGATCCAAACAATAATCTTATAAGATTTGTTGTTATGGTTTAAATATAAAAGGTTTTTACACTTTACAAATAGTAACATACAGACGAATAGTAGCTCACAGATACAGATACACAGATATCGAGAAATTTCATTTTGAAAGTGGCATTTATAATTTTATGAATAACGATTTTTTTAATAATTTTTTACTTTAAATTTATTGTTCAAAATTTTATCATTGTAAAGTTTCATTATATTTATGAAGTAAAATTTAATATATGCTACAGTTAAGGATTTAGCGCATAGAAATGCCATGCTAGTTCTACTTGATGCCGTTGGTCAACGATTGCTAGACCTATTTGATGTTCTAGCAGCCGCTGATCAACGATTTGACAAGTATCCAAAGAAAACAGTAAAAAACAAAACAACAACAACAACAAAAAACATAATAAATTAAAGAAAATTTTTATTGCTCAGAGCCCACTTGAACACCCTCATAACTCATAATCTTTTAACTTGAACACCCTCATAACTCATGATCTTTTACCAGGGATTACTAATAAGGTTAAATGCCACATCACTTTATTAGTATTTTTTAAATCTTTTATGTCAATTACATAGCCATATACATATATATATATATATATATATATATATATATATATATATATATATATATATATATATATATATATATATTTATTTTGCAAAACCATGGGCAAATTCGTATCATTGGTAGAGAGGCATTTATAAAATACGTACGCAGTAAAACAACTGGCTAAAGACCCTCCCTCTTCCCTTGTATGTAACTGTATGCTTTTAACGACCTTCGAACGTATGTATAATTTTTTCAAAACATATAAAGCAAAATAACTTTTAGATAATTCGACATATCTATATAATTTAATATTGATGTTCGATGCTTTTTTTTAAAAAAAAATCAAGTTTCAGGAGAGATAATAAATGAGAGAGAGAGAGACAGATAGAGAGAGAAATAGTCAAACCGCGTACGTAACCGCTATATATTCAACACCCTCCCCTTATTGTACATATTCGTACGTTTTTGGTAACTCTACTCCCCCAATACATGTGTACGAACTGCCTATGGAAGAACCCTAAAATAAATTGGTAATGTAACCGTGAAAGGTATTAAAACAAAAAATTAAAACAGAAAATAAAAATAAATTAAATTAAAACAGAAAATAAAAATAAGTGGTTTTCTACTAATTTTCTCTGCTATTTTAAAAACATTGAGCACTCATTTTGTAGAAAGCATTTAAAATTAATACATGCATATACATATAGTATATATGTATATGCATGAAAAATTTAATTCCTATAAAAACTTGAAAATTTAAAAGCTTCTAAGTCTGCGACTTTGTTGTTATTTAAAACAACACAATTCTAAGAAACCTTTGGTTTTAAATAAACACGCAAAATCATAAAGTAATTCATGTTAATAAAGTATGTAATTTAGACAACCTATTCCGTTTATAAATTAAAATTAATTATTTTATAAATGGAATCAGAATAATAACAAATATATCTCATAAACATGTCTCAAAATACACCTTGCGAAGCAATTTTTGAAGTCAACAAAAATATTTATGATACATATTCTGGTACGTTATGGAGAGAAGGAAAAAGTAAACGTAAGTTTCAATACTTTAAACTTTATGTATAATATGCTATATATACATATATATATATATATATATATATATATATATATATATATATATATATATATATATATATATATATATATATATATATATATATATATATATATATATATATATATATATATATATATATATATATATATATATATATATATATATAAATATAACTATTTATATGTATATATAAATAATTAGAAAACAATAAATGTGGTATGAATTTTTTTTGTGTATGTGTTAAATTTATTTTTTTAAAGGTTTTATTAATATAAATAACATTTTTTAAATTAGTAAGAAAATTGTTTTTAAGTAATAAATTTATATAATGACGTAACTTCAAATATTACCACTTAATTAAAAGTTTTTAGGATTTTTTTTTTACAGTATAAGCAAATATGTTTTTATTTATCACTTTTTATTAATAAAGTTACTTATAACTTATTTTTTTCAAGTTAAGAAACAAGTTAGTATTAACAAGAATTATTTCCTTGATAATTCATATATTTATATATTTTTATTATAAAACGAAATTATCAGAATAAGAGAAGCTTGGAATTATTGAAAGTATGGGAGGTTATTTTATTTAATTGGAATAAGTTGTCATTTTATCGACTTGTGGTGTATTAAATCTGAAATTATCGATTGTCTATAAATTTAATGAAAATTACTTAGAATTAAAAAAAAGTTGATTTTGTTTTATATGAACCAAATACTTAATATACCACTTTTTGAAACATTTCTGTTTTAAACTGCCTAAAATCTACATCTTTAATAAACTAGACCCTTAACAAACGGATTCACAAAGTTTTACTAATTCAGTCATTATACCTAAAATATTGTTTAAAAAGTTCGACAGTTTTTCTACGTTTTACACCATTGATTAGTGTAAAAAAACAACCGAAAAAAAGCACCCATTTAGTCAGTTGGTTCCTTCGTAATGCATTTTTTTTTTGGTATCAAATACATATATTTTTGTTATGTGTGATTTCTCAATCTATTAGAAAAATTTAAAAAATTTAATTAGTTACGTAATATTTTAACACTTTTCTGTTGTTTTATATTACCTAGTTCAAAAAGCTATTAATTTGTTCATTTCTATTAAATTAAACGCGAACTCTTGTTTATGTAAGGCATAGCGATGTGAAAAACTCTTTTTTTTTTACTTCGACGCTGATTAAATATTGAAAAGCGCGTAGGTGAGGATTTTTTGCATAACAATAAGAAAAGTCAATAAATTATACAGCTTGAAAATAATTTTTTTTTGTAAACATGGGAGGAGGGCAAATCAGAAACTTACTACAAGTTAATAGATTTAATGCCATTGAGTAAAGAAGTTTATAATTGTGATAAATTTAATACTTATAAAAGAAATAAAGAATTTGTATTGTACATATATTTTCTACATACATAGCCTTTGATTATATCAAAGACTATGTAAAAAGACATATCTTTTATAGACTTTGATATATAGTACAACTTAAATAAAAAATGTTGTGAAGAAATGGAAGCTGACATTAAACATTTCATATTAGTGACATGCCTAAAGTTTTTATGTGGAGAGTTTAATCGAAGGGGTCGTCCATAAATTACGTCACGCAGTTTTTAAAAATTTTTGACCCCTCGCTGCCTCATCATCACAACATTTTAACTCTTTTTTTTTTTTTTTTTGTTATCGTTTTTAGGTGCCCCAAGAAGACCTAACAGTCTTGTCACAGAGCACCGTGGAAGTGCGTTTAACCAGGAAGTTCACGCCTCTTTCCTTACCGTGACGCGAAAATATGCCCAGAGCTCGTTTCGAACCTGGATCTCCTGCTTATAAAGCAGGCGCTCTAACCACTGCTCTACGGCCGCACTACTCTTGAATAACAAGTCCCGTTTGAGTTGACACAAAACCACTAACCTCTTTTCCCTCCCCCTAAAGCATGACATAATTTATGGACGACCCAAAAAATGAAAACAAAAATATATTAAATTCTTCTCATTTGACTATTAAAACTAATGCTTTCCTGTTTGTTATTTTATAAATGTATTAAAAATTAGATCAAAGCACTTATTTTTATTATTATAAAAATTAAACAAATACATAAACGATAAATAAATAAATAAAAATTTATACATAAAAAAATAGTTATTTGATTGGTTTACTTCTTTAATGGCTAGCAACGTACTTATATCCTAAAATCTGAATTATTATATTATTTTTAAAAATTGTGTCAGAGCAGTCCCTTGACTGGTTTTCAACTTTTTTTATGTCAGGGAATTTCCACTTACTTCTCATGTCAGGGAATTTTCCTCATACCACTCTAACATAAACGCCACTTAATGTTTGTAAAAGTATTTGTAAAGATCACATTTCAACTAAAATTTATGGTAAGTAAAGATTAAATAAAAACAAGTTATATCAATATTTTTAAATCTTAGATGTCAAATTGTTTCCTAATGTTGAATGATTACTTACAATCAAATGATCGATTTGTCATAAAATAATTAAGCTGTAAAAGTATGCAAAGAGCTCTACTCAGCAAAATCGTAAATCCATTGTCTTTAGCAAATATTTAAGAATATTTTTTATTCAAATTGGCGCATACATTTAAAGAGAGATTTTTATCGAAAACCTTAAACTTCAGAAAAAGGAAATTAAAAACGGGGTCTAACACATAGGAAATGTTTTATATAGAAGAAAAATTATCAGATAACTAGGTTCAATTAGTTTTAAGACCAAATGATGCATAGTTTATTTGAAACAAGCAACATTTTAGGGTGGGGTTATATGTCAATGTGTTTTGTGCCGTTAAGAATCTAATGCTTATACAACAATAAATACCTTTAAAATAAAAACTATTATAAATTAAAAGTCTGACTATGTTTCTGGATTCATTTTTCTGGAGTCATGTTGCTATGGATTCTTTTAGATGATCATTAAAGATGTAATGACATCATGTTTTTAAATAAAACTTCTTAAACATAATTTCATCATGCTTTGACTTTTATAAGTTCTTCGACTTTTAAATTTGAATATCATATATTCAATTTGGAGAATTATAACATTATTTATTCTATATATTACAAAAATCTGTAAAAAAAACTATGGAAATTGTATCACAAGAATTCTCTGCATTCCTTGGAAATTAGCAAATAGAGTAGTAAAAAATATTCATTTTGTGTTTCTGATTTAGCGCTTTGAGCGAGTTTTTATATAATGTATATAATTATATAATATAGAGTTTTTATATAATGTATTTAATTTATAACATATACACGTAGTACTTATAACATATACACGTTGTATTTATAACATATACACGTAGTATTTATAACATATACACGTAGTATTTATAACAATTTAATTCAATTTTACTTTTTACCAAGATTGTGACGACGTCATTCTTATATTCCTAGAGTCCATGTTTATTTAATATAAATTCTCTTTTTTTTTTTTATAAATGCTTATATTTAATTTGATTTTTGAATGAATGAATAACAAAAATATATATTGTGTAAAATTACGAAATGTATTATCAGGTCCAATTTTTGAAATTGAGTTTATAAAATTTTAAGTTACAACTAATATTTTTATACTAAAGTGTAAAATTAAAAAGTTGAATAAAATAAATGTATAAAAAAGAAACTCATAAAGCTTTCGTAACTTGATCTTGTCTTTTAAATGTATCAATCTGCGTTTTTCATATTTTTGTCTATGAAAAATAAACGTAGTCCCTGACTTGCAATTTAGAAGATTTTTTAACGGATGTTAATCGAACATATGAAGTACAAGTAGATTGTTTGATATTTGTGATTAATTAGAAACAAAAATTATTTTGAAATTATTTGGTTTTGAAGTTTAAATATTAATAACAAGTTTTGTAGTTTAAATATTAATAACATTAGTTTTTGTTTTTTATTCAAAGTTAAGAGCATCAAGTTTTTTGAGTAACAACTAGACAATTTTATAATTTTGTAACAACTTCGACAATTTCATAATTTTGTTTAGCATAATTTAAAAAAAAAAAAACTAAACGATTACTTGCTGTGGCAATACGACAACATTTACTATGAATACGTATCGTGAATATTTGAAACTTTTCAGATTTTGTTTAAAAAATGTTTTGCATTGTACACAATTTCTAAAATTTTCGAAATTTAATTTCTTCAAACCTCAATTGGTTTTTTCAATTTAAATGTGTTCTCGGACGGTTCATGAGTTTTTTGGACGGTTCTCGACCAATTCGGACGGCTTTTGATCGGATCTATTAGTTCCGTGTTTATTTATTAAAACAATTGTTATTATTATTTGAGTTTGAAAAAAAAATCATTAACTTCAACAGCAAAAAAAATATATAAATAATTATTTTTTAGTAAAATTAAGTTATCAGCAAATTTGATATTTATAGGCAATTTTGAAGAAAAGCAAGTGTCACTTATACAGATTAAAAACGACAAAAGCCCAAGCATTGATCCCAGGGAGCACCACAGCCTACTAACTTTAATAGCATGCATCTTTAATCATATGACACTGCTTGTTTACAATTTTCTAAATAACATTGCATACATTTTATATTGCAGTATACCGTTCCACCGTTGTGCAATTTGTAGAAAAAAAATTTTTGTTGGCTGTATGAAATGCTTTTAAAAAATCTCAAAAACATCTCAGTTTTTTATTGTTTTCAAAACCGTTTAAAAAGAACATATATAACTAAAAGAAACTGAAACAGGAAGAGAGCTGGGAAGAAATAGGAAGAGATCTAGGCATTTATATAATAAATAAGCTAAAGTAGCACGTTCAAATGGTAAACGCAGCAAACAGTATTTAATGATTTAGAAAAGATTTTAAAAAGAGCAACAAAAATAGATCCATTTTTAAAAAGTTATGTGAGAACAAATTTAAAGTATTTAATCTGGAACTATTGGAAAAATGAAGAACTTGCTGAAACCTAATACAAATATACATAATACTATATGATTGCAACCAA